TCGAGCATATTCAGCTGCGCTCCAGACTCACTGGGGTGGAAAAACTCGTCTTGGAGCAGACCCACTGGAACGAGAGCAGGAGCAGCATTATGTCACGCCATTTTTGCGCTGCAACATTTGTACATGTTTAACATTTGTATGTTTAAAAAAAAAAAAAAAGTACAGTATATTTCATATTTTAGAAGACACCACAGCTGTTCATAACGTTGAAACGAGGCAAATGTGAGTGAGTCGAGGAGTTTGTGTCATGGTCACAATACGTTTCTCTACTTATTAGTAGAACTGATGAAGATCAAGGTAATGAGACAACAAACAAAATTCAACAGGGATCTCAACCAGTGATCAAGAATGAAAATCCAAACATATTCCGGACCAGCTGGGTTTCAATTCAGCTTTTTGGCCCTGTCTGTAGTCTCCAGTCAAAAACGATTTGGACTGAACCCGCTGATCGTGTGCAGAGAAAAAAAATGACAACAATCTTGGGTCAGGAGGCTCAACTGTACAGAAACTCTGAGCATGATTTTCAGCAGCCAGCACGAACGCCTTTAATGTCTTGGAAACAGGGAGATTTCGAATGAAATTACTGCCTTTTTCTTAAATGTTTTGGCCCCATTATGTGCCTTTGGCCTTCTTGCATCGGTTTTATTACCATTATCTGTTCTATGTGTCTGCTATTCTGTTATTTTCTTTCACTCATATCACTCACTCATTTGAATTCAATCAGGTTGTTCACATTCAACAGACCTCACGCTGACCTGCGAAGTTTTGCTTATTTACTTGATTTAGATAATGCACTATGCTGGGACGACACACAATGACTGAAAAAACTCTCTAGTGGTTGGGGAGAGGGAGTAATGGTATAATAAATTAAAGCTTCCATTTATATAACCCAGGTGGGATTCAGTTGCTGCACTACTCATATTGGCCGAGAAGATTCGACAGGCAGGTACGCTGAAACACCGATTACACGTGACGTGAGGATAGACCACCACAGCTGTGCTACATCAGAAACTTTTTTAGAAGAGGACTTTGGTCTGTATTAATGCACTTAACTAGCTAAACAGCTCGCCATACGTTAATACGTTAGCTACCACGTTTTAGCCTTGTCAATTCAGTTTCCAAACAAAAAACATGGGACTGGGCAGCACATTGTAGCTTTCACTTGCGTTTTAGTGGGCTAACTACTGAATTTGTGAATTCATTCACAGTTCTTCAGTGTGAGGTAAGAAAAAAAAAAAAAAATCAAGGCAATAAAAACTACTGATTTTAAGGGACATCATCAACGTCTTAAGATGGATCTGCCTACCTAAATGACACACGGATCAGCAGCTGGGATAAAAGCCAGTGTTACCTTTCAAATTTATTCCAGAAACTACCTGTTGGCTGGCTTACTGAACTGAAACGTGATTACCTACAAACTGGAAGAGCAATACTGACACTGACGCCATGCTTTCCTGTTAGGTCTCAGCAGGCTTTACCAATGCTGTTGCAGAGTTCAGACGCAGAAAGGATGTGTTGTTGCCCTTTTTGTTTGATTTCACTTCTTTTGGGATTGGGAAGATACCCACAGGGTGTGTCATGAGCTTAATTTCCTGCTTTAAAAGATTTACGTCATTACACAATCAGATCGAAAGATAAAAGATAAAACCCATTCTGAAGGCACCGAAGATGTCAGATGAGCATCAAGTTGCAGGCTTCCAGAGTCGTGCGCTATTGGTTTCCCAGTACTGATTCATCTTTTTCTGCAGCCTTCATTTTTTGAACCCCCCCCATCAGACTGAGAAGAGACTCTGGTCTCCAACACTGTTCAGTGATAATTAATTCATTAAGGAATAGCTTTGATCAAGCATTTTGGTATTTACCAGTTAAGAGGTAATAGGTTATAAGCTCGCTTCCGTTATCAATTCTGCAATTACAGTTAAAAATTGCACTGAGCTCAGACAGCCATTTTAAATGGTATAAATATAGAAAATTAGCAAATAAACACAACAGACCTGGGGCCAAATGTACAAGTCTGTTATAAAGAACTGATACAGTTGATCTTACAGTTGGCTTTAGAAATATGTCATTGGGGACTCAGTTAAAGCAAGAGATGATACCACACTGTTACCACAAGTGTGATGAGATAGATGAAATAGAGATGAAATAGATTTCATTTTCACAAGTTCGCACACAGCTAAAAATGTGTCTCTGAGTTTAAGTCAAGTTTATCGTTCACAGGCAGCACAGCTGAACAAACACACAGTTGAATGCTGCGACGACAGGACTGGATTTACTTCATACACAATACAATCGCAAACTCAAGGGATCATGTGAACACCAAATCATGTGTCATCTGGATGCACTGAGTTGCTTATCATCGGCAAAGATGGCGTCGTTTCAAATGCTATCGGTTCTGGGTCATCACACGTCATTGTGTTTATAGATAAGACTCCACAAAGCAGCTTTAATTAATGACATTCAGAAATGTTAAACACTCCACATTTCCCAACAAGCTATTTTTGTACTACACGAGGGATCATATGATTTACGCAGTGCGGAATGTGTTTGGATGGTCGAGATCATGCTGAAACTGAGGTTTTGCCAGTCAAGTCATTTTCTAAAAGATACAGCACGAGGAATCTGTTTATATACATCACTGATTAGAACGGGGGTCTCAAACCTTTTGCAGCCAGGGACTCTTTAACTGTAAAATTTATTCCTGAGCTGTCCACAAGAAGAAGACATTACGTCTAGCGGTCTATTTTTCAAACCTGTAACAATTCCATATCTCTGAAGTGATATTTGAACATTTCTCTGCTACAAGTCAGCCCTCGGTGAAGTGCTGCCTGTTTATCTTAGCGGGTTTTTTTTTGTTTGGTTTTTTTATCTAAGCATGCAGTGTTTGGGAGTAGCGCAGGCTGTAGGAGACGTTTATCAGGTTAAGAAGGCTGTGTATTTCCTTTCTATTGGTGTAAATAGCATTTAAGGACGTTTTAATTAAAAAACTAAATATGTGTGTGTGTGTGTGTTTGTAAGTATATGTATGTGTATGTGTATATATATATATATATATATATATATATATATATATATATAATTAATTCGAATTACCTGAATTAATCATGAAAATTGGCAAGCATTAATTGGGTCCAAGTTATTATTTGTAAGCCTACTTGCTTTTAAATTATTGAGGTTTGAAATTGAAACTTTAAATTTAGTGACCAGTCAAATACACCAAATACAAGAACTATAACAGAATGGTGATTTATGATTTATACCATTGTTACAAACAAAAAATTATAATAATTAAAAAATAACAAATCCTCTTGCCTTGCTTCCCGGAACCCACACAATTACTGACTGCCATGTCACCCAATGATGATTACTCTGAATATTACCAGACATGCCAACCTTTACACACTAATACAAGTTACCACTCAAAAATATGCCAAAAGGTTAAGATGAAAGATGAGCTAAAAGCTAATCTGAAATTTAGACCCGTATTTCTATAAGACGCTGCGCCTCTGGCTGTCGTATGCTCTTTAGATTAATAAAGGCTCTTATGTGTTGACTTTCTGCAATAATGGGTTTCTCAACTGCAACATGCCCTTCAGTACTACTTCTTACAGTTAAAGGATTACTTTGGTGCCATACGACTGTGTGGCTGCTAGACACTGAGCAAGCATTTTACAGAATTTGTTTCTGTCCCTTAAGGTAATTACCTTTAAGATGCAAACCACTTTTGGCTCTTACACTGTATTTTCCGCACTCAACTCGGCCAGATTCTTATTTTTTTGCCATTACATCCTGAAAGTGCAATTTAATGGCCTTGGTGGTCTCTCTCCAATACAGACGCTTCTGAACCAGCTGCCCACTAGACATTGGCCAAAAGTATAAAGTCAGTGGAAACTGGCGAGAGCCTGGACCTGCTAATGAGCTGAACGTGTTTGAAGGGAAGGTAGCGGAAATGCAGTGTTTGGCGCGGTGAAATAGTGAAGCCAGTTGCTAGTGTTGTTAAATGCAACAGTGTTTTATTTTCTGAACGCAACCACCACATAATATACCTTTAATTCAGTTACCTAATCCAGTTTTGTATTTCTTTTTCTTTCTTTTTTAATGAACTCAGGACTGGGGTTTTGTTTATTTGCAGATCTGCTACTCCTCCATCGGCTGTAGCTTAGTTAGCTGTTCCAGCAGGACAATGACCCAAAGCATGAGTACAAATCCAGACCAAAGTGGGTCAATGACCACAAAATCAAGCTTTTCACAGAGCCATCCCAGTTCCCTGACCTAAACCTGTGTGGCGAGCAGAAGAGGAGAGCCCACAAGAGAGAACCTAGGACTATGGAGGATGTGGTTGGATTCGGTATTGAGGAGCATTCTCAGAATCCTCACGCTCTATTCTCTGATCTCATCAAGGCTTATAGGAGTAGATTTTGTGCTGTTATGCTGACGAAGGGAAGTGGCACAAAGTAGTAAATGCAGGGGTGCCAATAATTGTATTTTTGATAAAGGCCTTTTAATTTGCTTAGATTAAATTTAGTTAAATATACATTACACCATATGGCCAAAAGTATGTGGACACATGACCATGATAACCATATTTGGACCTTCCCTAAAGTGTTGCCACAGAACTGGAAGCGCACAGTTGTCTAGAATATCTTTGTATGCTGTAGTATTATGATTTCCCTTTACTGGAACTAAACGGCCCAATCTTGTTCCAGCAAGACATCGCCCCTGTGCACAAAAAGAGATATGGTTTACCAAGGTCGGTGCGTAAGAACATGAGTGGAAAGCCTTCCCAGAAGAATGGAGGCTGTTATAGAAGTAAAGAGGGGACCAAGTCCATATTAATACCCATAGTTTTGGAAAGGGATGTTCGAGGATAGATTAGGGTGTGATGGTCAGGTGTCCACAAACTTTTGGCCATATAGTGTATATGGTTGAGATGACAATAAAGGGCACCAAACTGTACTTTTCCTTGTTGTTGGGGTGGCACTATTAAACATACACATCGAGGCAGTGGTGGTGCAGTGGTTAAGGTGCTAGCTTCTTATCCAGAAGGTCAGGGGTTCAAGTCCCAACACTACCAAATTGCCACTGTCAGGTCCTTAACTGCCCCTACTCCAGGGGTGTGCTATCATGGCTGACCCTATGCTCTGACCCCCACTTCCTAACAATTTGGGATATGTGAACAAAAAAATTTCTCTATAATGTATATGTGACAGATAAATACTGCATACTGTTTTAAAAACTAATTAACCGTATACCACATGCACCTTTCCAGGCAAGAAACATATACTAAAGATACATAAGATGTACCTTTGATGGAACCAAACCGGCATCAAGGAGAAGTACTGTACAGCTGACTGCATCAACACTGGTTCTCTTTCTCTGACATCAACAGTGAATCAATCCAATTAGCTTTGATGATGATCATATTACTTAAGTGCATGTGAATATGTTGATTTTTCTTGTATTTAAACATTTTATCCACAGCTTTTAAGATGGAGATCAGTGCAGTTCCTCCAATTGCCCTACTTGGTGCAGGGACCTTAGAAATGATAACGAACAGATCTGAGACAGTACCCATTCTCAGAGTATATTACTGGCTAGAAACTTGATTTTACAACACTGGAAATCAGGACCAGGACCAACATATGAGATGCGGTTCAGAGAGTTTGGGAATGTGTTATATCTAGAACAAATCCACAACACAATCTCCAAAAAATCTCCAGGAAATGTATTTTAAAATTTGGGAGTCTCTTATTAATTTGGTGAACTAATATATTGTATGGTTACGCATCATTATTCATGTATTGATTGTCCCGATTTAAACCTAACCCTGAACGATAGCTCTCTGGTGGTACTGGTTGTGATTTAACCACCAGATGCTTCTTTTGTTTTTTTCCCAAGGAATTATTGCCAAAATCTGATTAGATTATTTTGTGCATGTAAACACACTCACAGTTACCATTGCACGTAATTAGATCAGTACTGTATGCGAGCACATCTTTCTACGTTTGACCAGCCCATGATTACATCACCATGATTAAGCAAGTCACTTAAACACACGGAGATGAGGACTGACAAAGAAGAGGCAGCAGTATAGCTGTTGCTCCTGTTCCTCTGGTTCTGAACATTTTTTTTTTGCAGTCTTATGTTAAAATGTACTTAAGGATCAAAGTTGGTCACAACTTATAGATTTAAGCCTATATAAAAAACAATTCTTTACAGCGTACAGTGTTAGCTAAAATCGGATTCTGATAATGCTCTCAGTACACCTTGATTTAAACTATTAGTAACTTTTCACAGCCCTGTATGCCCAGACTCCACCTATTGAAGCAGGTCATGATCCTGAGCTGACAAGGACACGGTGGCAAAGCAGGTATCGTTGGCACTTCACATGTCCTCGACTTGAACTCGATCCTGAGGCTACTCTCTGCAAGGAGTTGTGCATGCCTGCCTACGTCTCCCATGTGGCCTAATGGTTAGAGAGTCAGACTGGTGAACCTGAAGGTTGTGGGTTCGAGTCTCAGGTCCGGCAGGGATTGTAGGTGGGAGGAGTGAATGACCGGCGCTCTCTCCCACCCTCCATACCACGACTGAGGTGAGACCCTTGAGCAAGGCACCAAACCCCCAACTGCTCACCACTGTGTTCACTACTGTGTGCACTTGGATGGGTTAAATGCAGAGCACAAATTCTCCGTATGGGTCACCATACTTGGCTACACTTCACTTTCACTTCATGTCAAGGTTGCCTAGAATGAAGAGCTCACTGAAGATGAATGAATGGACTGATGGGCTGATGTGAATCAATAACCAGATGGCAGATTGGATTTAGGATGTGATGTCATATGTGAAATATATATGTGTGTGTGTGTGTGTGTGTTAGGAATCAGAACAAAAAATCAGAAATGGTCAGCAGCATAGATGCAGATGAACTCTGACCATGTATGAAAAACACTGGAGCAAATGTGGTCTAAACACACAATCTTAAGAGGTTTAAAAATATTTCATACCGAGCAAACGAGACGGATCAGGGCATTTTTCCAGCTCTTTCTCTTTAACAGTGGTGTTGGAAGTTAAAATGCTGGTTAACTTTGGTTCTTCAGTGCTTCCTGCATGTTGCTCCAGTTTCCTCTGGTTCTGGTGGATTTGCTGTTGGTTTTGGACAAATGATTGTCTGAAGTCCAGCGATCTGACATAATAAACTACAGTGACAAAGATGTGCAGGCAGCAAAGGACCACAACAAGAGTGCAGGTCTTGTGGAGGAAATTAAAATTCACATTCGGATCGCGCATCTTTTTAAAAAAAAATAAAAAAAAAAAAAAAAGAGAGAGAGAGAGAGAAAAGAAAAAAGCGAATAAGCTAGACCTATTACTCCAAGTCTAGCTAGCTGTGTGTTGATGTAAAGTAAATAAAGCAGCTACATCAAAAAATAATCTTTGTACACAAATCTACATACACCTCGTTTGATTCTGCATTGCACAATCAAGAAAAAGAAAATCCAGTGCTTGGAGGGATGTTGCTAAAAAAAAAAAATCTAAATATTACAATTTATTTTTAAAAAAAAACCAATTTACCTACCTCACTTCCTGTTTAACAAACATTTATGAGTTTTGTATACAGTCAGTCGGTCTATAACATTAAAAATAACGTTACTCGATTTTTTTGTGGAAATTTCTAAAGCCCATGACCATAATATGTGCTACTATTATTTTTATTATTTTTTTAAGTGACATGTCAGGGCTTCATTAGCGTTAGCATGCTCACTCGGCTCGGCTAAACTAGCTAGCTTAGCTAAGTTACTCGTGACTTTAGCGAACTTTAGTCCGCTTCTCCTTTAGACAATTTGTCCTCCCTTTCGTTACGGTTCTCCAACAGCTTTCAGAAGAATCCCACGGTATCCAAATGTGGGGGGGACAGAAGAAGAAGGAAAAAAAAAAAAAGTTAGTCCGTGGAATGTTATAAAAGAGAAAGTGAGCCGTCGTAATGCGCTCTAGGACGCTCTGCTTCCCGTTACACTGAGAGATGAGGTACGCCTCGCGCTCCAAGCAGCTCGCGTGAACAAAAATACGTCATCAGTTCAGTGACTCGAGACGGTTGGTAATGCACGCGCCTCTCAAACCTCTAAAAATCAGCATCTATCTATCTATCTATCTATCTATCTATCTATCTATCTATCTATCTATCTTATTTTCCATTATGCTTACTTATTGCACACGACACGCGAATATTTAGAAAAATGTGCTTCTATCAACTGTACACGTGTAAAATATGACTTCAGCTTTAACTTTACACTTTTACAGATGTGTGTCTTTCCTAATACTACTGTACAGTCATATGTCTATGCACTCATTTAGCTGTGCAATATTTTTCTGACATCAAAGTCCGTTTAGTTCACCCAAACGTCTTTTGAATTTACTTCTAATTTTAGAATAAAAAAAAAAAAAAAAAAAAAAATTAAGAGTTACAACTATTTTCTGGCTGTCTTATTTTTAGTGTAAACTTTAAAATTTACATTAAAACATGATGTCAGACAAAAATAGAACTGTCTTCTGGGGAGGATGGAGAAACTAAAATGAAACCGTTTGTGATTTGTATAGAGTTTGACCTCCTCCTAGTGGTTGCAATAGGGATTAAAAGCCCCTTCAGTGTACACGATATGGCCAAAGGTTTGTGGATGCCTGACCATCACATGCATATGTGGTTCTTGCCTAAACTGTTGTCATAAAGTTGGAAGCACACAATTGTATAGAATGTATGCATTAGAGTTACAGTTTCCCTTCACTGGAACTAAGAGGTCCAAACCTGTTCCAGTATGACAATGCCCCTGTGCACAAAGCGAGCTCCATGAAGACATGGTTTGTGAAAGTTTGGAGTAGAAGAACTTGAGTGTCCTGCACAGAGCCCTGACCTCAACCCCACTGAACACCTTTGGGATGAACTGGAACTCTGACTGCACTCCAGACTTCCTCACCCACCCAACATCAATGCCTGAGCTCACTGATGCTCTTATAACTGAATGAGCACAAATCCTCACAGCCACGCTCCAAAATCTAGTGGGAAGCCTTCCCAGAAGAGTGGAGCTTAAAACAGCAAAAGGGGAATAAATCTGGAATGGGCTGTTCAACAAGCACATATAGGTATGATGGTCATGTGTTCACAAACGTTTGGCCATGTAACGTCTTTTCATAATTAGCTTGTTAATGTTAGTTATAGCTTCTGTGGCGAGTTTACCAAAAGAACGAGAATTTATTATTTTTTTCTGTTTAGACATTTTCTCACTGACTTGAGTTTGGCGAGATTATATTTGGTAGAGATGATGGCAGTTCTACCCAAGAACCAATCAAAATTTGCTATCAGCTCCCATTTTTACCCTAAAGTGATTTCTTTCCTGTTCACTTGGCTTTTTTTGTGTCTGAGTGTGAGCAAAACTGAATCTGGTTAACATTTTATATACATAAAGTAATCTTTTAAAAAGGAATGAGAATTAGCAGAGTGGTTGCACTATGATTGGGATAATCATGAACCACCTATTGTTAAAAACTCGGCAAGCTTCATTTTTGTTTAATTACCCCGTTTTATATAATACGCATTGTTCACATTTGAGCACAAGCGTTTGTGTTCTAAATTCTCACAACATCATAAACCGAGAAATACGACAACTTTAATCTGACCTCGCCGAGCTTCACCTCAGTGAAGTAGGCAGTTAAATGGGAGGATAGTAAAGCAAATTTAAAATCATTTTAAAATGAAATATCAGCTGCTTCTGCAGTTCTGCCTTGTTTTGTCATGCTTATTGAGCATTGTGCCACTAAAAAGTGTGTACAATATATATATATATATATATATATATATATATATATATATATATATATATATATATATATATATATACATATATATTTTACATTTTATTAATAGATACCGTTTGAAACCATGTTGCCAGGGGCTTTAAACATATGAGCATTCGATATCACTGATTTCTTCACATCACAATATTTGTGCAAGTGTGAAATATTGATAGCAATCATAGAATTAGCAAAATTTTAACACTTACCCAGCTAGCAGGTAGCCATTAACTGTGTGAAGGTATAGGGGTTGCAGAAACAAGACTAAACTGCTGGGAATATCAGAATCCTCCTTAGATAATTACAAATGACCAAACTGTTTTATTTTAATTACACAGTAACATCCACTACAAGCCGGACTTCCACAGTTCTGCCCTATTGAGAAATGTCAACATTTTATCAAGACTCTGACACACTGACATGGTGAAGTGAAACGCCTGTGGCGCAAGTGGAGCAAAATGTAACAGGGAAGTGTTACGAGATCCTACACGCCAGTGGGAAGGACGGGGCCTCCGTCAACATTGGAACACATGCTCCTGTCTATCAAAACACATCCAACTCAGTTGGTCATTCCCATTAGCGTATCCTTCCTAAACATGAGATGATGAAATGGAATAGCAATATGTGTTTATATTTATGTTTTTGCTTAGATTACACCATGATTGGAGGCTCGTGTAATTTCAATTTGCGTCCTTATTCTGTAAAAGCGAGGTCCACCTCTGCCACCATCCAACCATTAGATCTAATGTATATTTAATCAGGAATCAGTTAGGATTATTGATGCTCAATAATCTATTATTATCTATGTTTTTTTTCCTCAGAACTGCAAAACTGGATTCTGACTGTGCATGCAAGCTGTGTCATCTTCATTAGGTGAAAAACAAGACATAAGTATTTAAATAAAGATTTTTAGTAGTCCTGACAAGAGCAAACTAAAATCATAGTTTGTTATAATCTTAGTTATTGGAAATTTCTGTAGTTGTTTCTGGAACCTTCTAAGAAATGAGCATGCTCCTGTACCATATATTTCTGTTTGGGGTTTTTAATCACAAAAATTCTTTTGACCATTATGGGCAGTAAGGGAAACTGTGTGATAGGATGTCATTTCAGGATGTGATAAAAATTAGGCTGAGATTGAAGTTTTGCTGTATTTTTTATTGTATTGTGTGAATTTGATTTAAAAAAAACAATTTTACAGTCTATAATCTATCAAGAGAGGCACATACACACAGGTACACATGAGAAATGTGTAAAAAAAACACATTCATGCTACATTTCTGACATATGTAAAGAATTTTAAAAGAAGTAAAAGATTTGCAGATATAAAATGTATATAATACTTTCTATATTAAAAATGCTGGGTAACAGGACAGTCACATTGCAGTAACGCGAATAGAAATGGAATGGAAGACAGGATGAAAAACGAGTAAGAAACTTATAGAAGTATTAGCAAGTTTGTTGCTAGATTTGGTGAATTGTTTAGACCACTTTATTGACTTTATTTAAAAAAAAGAGATAGTGACAAATCTAGCAACTTTTTGAGCAGACATTAGTAACTGTCCTGCACTCGCTACAGCTCTCCAGCTCAAATCACAGCTGCTGGTTACGCGACTTGAGAGGAAGTTCACTCAACTCACCACCAACAGACTAACTGTTCCCAACGACCAATCACTGATCACTAATGTTCCC